TCAGTATTTTTGGAAGTGTCAATGAAGTACTGATGGGGTGGTCATAATAATCTGGCCAGTCATAATAATCTGGCCACTCAGTGTATGTATTATATATATATATATACACACTAGAGGCTCGGTGCGCAAAAATTTGTGCACTCGGCAGGGGGGGGAGTCCCTCAGCCTGGCCTGTGTCCTCTTGAGTCTGGGACCCCTCGGGGGATAACCACCTGCTGGCTTAGACTCGCTCCCCAGGGAATTGGGCCTAAGCTGGAAGTCAGAAATCTCTCTGGCAGCCCAGCAGCCCTCAGGGAATGTCCACTTGCCAGCGGGAAGTAGGCCTAAGCTGCAGTCAGATATCCTTAGCGCTGCTGAGGAGGCAGGAGAGGCTCCCACCACCACCGCTGTACTGGCAGCCATCCGCCTGGCTGTGACTGAGCACAGCATCCCCGCACTGACCACTGGGGACAGCTCCTGCATTGAGCGTCTGCCCCCTGGTGGTCAGTGTGTGTCATAGTGACCAGTCATTCTCAGTCATTCTGCTGTTTGGGTCAATTTGCATATTACCCTTTTATTATATAGGATATGCAAGAAAATCAATCCAGAGGATTGGGGAGGGATTCCAAGACTAGAGTTAGAGAACTCTCAGAAAAGGAGGTCTCTGTTGGCATTCTGAAATCCTGAAGAAAGCAATAAGAGCCAGACTCGGGGGAGAGGGTCATCATAGAGGGCCAGGATACCCACACTGGCAAGGCAGGAAGAAGACCCTGGAAGGATCAGAATGAAGTCCCTCTGGCAGTGCTGGCAACTTGAAGCTGCCCTGGAGATGGCTTAGCTCACACTGACGTGAGTGGAAAGGCCCCCAGACAAGCACACATCCAGAAGCATCCCGAGGGGAAGACCTGTACCCAGCATGCAGCACCCAGCACTAGGGCAGCCCAGGGGCGAGGCTCAGGGATTATGAATGAGTGAGAAGAAAACTAAGGCAGCTTCCAGCACCATCTGAGAAAGAAGTCTGGGAACTCAAGCTGTCCTCTGAAGCTTTGGCTTCTTCACAGCTGACTTGATTTTCACAAGTTTCTGCAGTTTCCTGTGGGGATTAACACTAAGAACACTGGGTTAATTTTGCAGACAAAAAGGAAGAGAGGAGCCCTAGCCGGTTGGGCTCAGTGGATAGAGCATCAGCTTGCAGACTGAAGGGTCCTGGGTTCAATTCCAGCCTAGGGCACATGTCTGGGTTGCGGGCTCAGTCCCCAGTAAGGGGCGTGCAGGAGGCAGCCAATCAATGATTCTCTCTCATCATTGATGTTTCTATCTCTCTATCCCTCTCCCTTCCTCTCTAAAATCAATAAAAATATATTTAAAAAACAAAGAAAGAGAGGAGCAGCCTCACACCGGGTTGGCTTGGGGTTAGGCTAGTCACTAAAATCAATAGAGAGCTGCCTTTTGACAACCAACCCCCCCCAGGAGGCACCCATAAACTGGCTTCTTTCTCTGCTCCGCTCAGAACCCCAGACTGGGTCCCTCACTTACTTAGTCTTTTTTCTTCCAACAGGCTCCTCCTCCGTGTCTTCGGTGCCACTGCTTTCATACTGTACGGGGATGTCTGCTGCCAGTGCCAAGGACAGGAGGCCAAGGCCATCTCGCCACGGTGCCTCATTCACAGCCACCTCGGCACCCACAATGCCCAGGCTGTGCTGCAGCTCAGGCAGAGTCAGTGGCCGCAGCCACGTGGCTAACTTTTCCTCTCCTTGCTGCCCACTCCTCCTGGCCCGCACAAAAGGGCATGCTGGGATGAGAGGCCCATGACGGAACCTCTGCTTCTGAAGGCAGCAGTCAGCATGAGAGGCACTCTCTAACAAAGAGGTGTCTTGGGGAAAGGCCTGGTCTATGGCATCGAGGAGGTCCAGCTGGAGCTGGGTTTGGACCCAGGGTGCCCAGCGGTACAGCTGCTCCAGGAAGGGCAGCAGGTCCAGGTGGCCCACGAGCAGCGCTTGGTATGGAGGCAGCAGGCAGAGCACTGCGTGCAGGTAGTGCCAGGCCTCAAGGCTGCAGTCCTGGAGCACAGCTGAGAACAGAGTGCGGAGCTCAGTGACCAGGCGCTGCAGGCCGGGCAGCGACTGAGTCAGCGCCTGCAGGAACTGCCTCTGCCGCCTCTGCTGGTGCTGAGACTCCAGGGCATCATATGGTGCCTCTTTGGGAGATGAGTCTACCCATGTCTTCGAGACCACAAGGAGCTGGGCATCCAACTGCTGGCGAACCGACCTGGCCCACTGCTCAGGCTCCGACTGCCAGTTCCAGGTTCCTGGCTGCTGGGCCTCACCTGCGTGGCACAGACCAGGAAAGGAGCAAGAGAAGGGGGCCTTAGGCTCTGGTCAAGGGATGGTCAGGGTCAAGGGGTTGGGGAAGGAAGAGAGGAGGAGGGACTTAGGACAGGGAAATGGGCGCTGCAGGGCAGAGCCAGGCCAGCAGAGGGCCCTTTCTGGGACCCTCAACCCTACCTACAGCCTCCGCAGCGAGTCTGGTAAGAAGCCCGCCCAGGACAGAGGTGGGGGCCTCCCTGCACAGGTTCCTTCCCACCAGCCAGGCCACTGCCCCCTCACCTGGCCGGAAGGGTACAGGAGGCAAGGTAAGGGAAGGGAGACACATCTGCCGACGAGGTTTCATCAGGGAGCACCTGTTGGGTAAATGGACGAACTTGGACTTGGCTCCTAGACACAGACCACTGCGCGCAGAGTGACTGGCAGACAGACAAGCCTGTGACCTCTGCAGAGGCCAATGGATACACACACGGAAAACCCGCCCAGAGAACCTCGGTTACTGAGGAGCTGTCCCTGGGGTGGAGCCTGCGACCTGCAGAGGACGGGAGCGGGTCGCCAAGGGAGGAAGCAAAGCCCAGTCCTATCTGCGCTGGAGGGGCCGCTGAGGACCCGGACAGGTGGCCGCAGAACTGCTTGGGGGGGGGGGGGGAGGAGGAGGAGGAGGAGGAGGAGGAGGAGGAGGAGGAGGAGGAGGAGGAGGAGGAGGAAAAGGAAGGAGGGATCCTTGGGGGCGTGTGAGGAGGGGGCCTTCCAGGGGACAGCCCGAGAGTGGTCTCCCCTGGGGAAGGGGAGCGGGTCCGTCTCCTCCCGGGGGTTAGAACGGTTACGAGAGCCCTCGCGTGAGGCTCAGCGCTGCCTCCTAGAGCGCCCAGGAGCCAGTAAGCGGCGGGAGGGTGGGGCCCCAGGTCGGGTACGCAGAGGTGAGGGGGGAGGGCCAGGCCGAATGCGCTGGCTGCCTGCACCGCTGGAGGGTCGGCGTGGCTGGTGTAATCCTTGCGCCTGTTTATTCACTGGGCAGCTAAACCAGCGTCAGGCACCAACCACCTGTCTTTGAGACCCTCCCAAACCCCCCTCCTCCCACCTCCGCCATATCCACCTACTCCACCCACCCCCAACTCCTAGCAAGAAGAAATTCTTGATCACAATAAGCTCAAAATAGGGGGTGGGGCTGGGGCTGAATGATTAAAACAAAAATAGTGCTATTTAATGGCTCCGCTTGGATGAATGATGAGTATCTCAAACTTAAAAACTTAAAATGTCCAAAACCGGACTCCTAACTGCCCCCCATTCGTTCTCCCTCTGCCCCAAAGAAATCTGCTGCTTCTTTCACTGTCTTCCCCATCTCAGTAAATGGCAAGGCAATTTTTCCAGTTGCTCAGATGAAAACCTTAGAGTCACCTTTGACTTCTCTCCCTCTCTCCCCCTCCCATCCCCACATCCCATGTCTTATCATTCAGCAAATTTTGTTGGCTATATAGCCTCAAAAATATCCAGAATCCAACTGCTTCTCACTACTTTAAGTGCTACAACCTTGGTCTAAAATCATTCCTGTTGTTGACAGGATTCAATTCTTTGTGGTTGTAGGACTGAGGTCCCAGGTTCCTTCCTGGCCATTAGCCAGGGGCCACTCTCAAGTCTTAGAGGCTCGCTTTATGGCCCCTCCATCCTTAAGCCAGCAACAGTTCTTCAAGCACTTCTCCCGCTTCAAATCTTTCTGATGTCCTCTTCTGCAACCAGCCAAAGAATACTTCCTGCTCTTAAAAAGTTCATGTAATTAGATCAGGCCCACCAGATAATTCCCTTTCCTACAGTCAATTATGCCATATTATATAACTTAATTACCGAAGTAAACTCTATCAGATTCAAAGTTCTAGGGATTATGCAGGGTAGGGTATGTATACAGGGGGTGGGAAATCTTGTGGACTCTTCTTTTTTTTAAATTGATTTCAGAGAGGAAGGGAGAGGGAGAGAGAATCATTGATCAGCTGCCTCCTGCATGCCCCCTACTGGGGTTGAGCCCACAGTATGTACCCTTGACTGGAATCGAACCCGGGACCCTTCAGTCCGTAGGCTGATGCTCTATTTACTGAGCCAAACCAGCTAGGGCCTTGTGGACCATCTTAAAATTCTTCCTACCACACATATACTGTAATAACAAAAAGATCAAAATATACAATTGCCAGAAGCCAGTCCATCCTTGCTGCTTGACACAGTCACTGCAGGGAAGAAACATCTGCACAGCATATGTTTCAAGGGACCTGGCGTATATGGCATACTGTTCTTAATATGTTTGCTCACCTTCTTGGCACTATGTGTTTTAACCAAGGTCACCTCTCCGAGAAAGGTTGTTTCCCCAGGTAGGGATTTTCCCCTGAAGTTAGGGAGGGAATAAAACCCCTTAACTAAATGCCAGGTGGGTAGTTAATCACTTTAACTACGAACAATTGCTCTTAAGCTACATACTCTTTACTCCCTGGAAGGGAGATAAGAAACGCCCTAACCTTTGGAATAGAAATTGATAGGATTAAAATCAACTGGTATAAATACACATGTAACAAGACAATAAAGGACAGAACTTGGCTGGAGATCCTGGCTAGAGAACCTGGCTAGGCTGCTGATCAACTGAATGCTGTGTCTGTGTCATTCCTTCTCCGCCGACTCCATCCACACCTTTGGGAACCCCTGGACCTGCTGGGGTTGGACCCCAACATATGGCGCAGTAGTTCCTGCAGGTTCTCTCTTCCGTCTTCGGAGCCAGTGGCCCTCTCTGTGCTGAGCAGCTAGGAAGCCCCTGTCAGCGAGCTTGTAGGAGCTTTGAAACCGTCGTCACCCCTCCGACTCTTACCAGGAGGGAAACATGGTTGAAGCTGATCGCCCAGAAAAGCTCTTCATTGGTGGTCTCAATACAGAAACAAATGAGAAAGCCCTTGAAGCTGTATTTGGCAAATATGGACAGATAGTGGAAGTACTCTTGATGAAAGATCGTGAAACCAACAAATCGAGAGGATTTGCTTTTGTCACCTTTGAAAGTGCAGCAGATGCTAAGGATGCAGCCAGAGATATGAATGGAAAGTCCTTAGATGGAAAAGCCATCAAGGTAGAACAAGCCACCAAACCATCATTTGAAACTGGTAGGCGTGGACCACCTCCACCTCCAAGAAGCAGAGGCCCTCCAAGGGGTCTTAGAGGCAGAAGAGGAGGAAGTGGAGGAATCAGGGGACCTCCCTCACGTGGACAGCACATGGATGATGGTGGCTATTCCATGAATTTTAACATGAGTTCTTCCAGGGGACCACTTCCAGTAAAAAGAGGCCCACCACCGAGAAGTGTGGGTCCTCCTGCTAAAAGATCTGCTCCTTCAGGACCAGTTCGCAGCAGCAGTGGAATGGGAGGAAGAGCTCCTGCATCTCGAGGAAGAGATAGTTATGGAGACCCACCTCGAAGGGAACCCCTGCCTTCCTGTAGAGATGTTTATTTGTCCCCAAGAGATGATGGATATTCTACTAAAGACAGCTACTCAAGTAGAGATTACCCAAGCTCCCGTGATACAAGAGATTATGCTTCACCACCAAGAGATTATACTTATTGTGATTATGGTCATTCCAGTTCACGTGATGACTATCCATCAAGAGGCTATAGTGATAGAGACGGCTATGGTTGTGATCATGACTATTCAGATCATCCAAGTGGTGGTTCCTACAGGGATTCATATGACAGTTATGGTAACTCACGTAGTGCTCCACCTACAAGAGGGCCCCCACCATCTTATGGTGGAAACAGTCGCTATGATGATTACAGAAGCTCACGTGATGGATATGGTGGCAATCGAGACAGTTACTCAAGCAGTCGCAGTGACCTCTACTCAAGTGGTCGTGATTGGGTTGGCAGACAAGAAAGAGGGCTTCCCCCTTCTATGGAAAGGGGGTACCCTCCTCCACCTGATTCCTACAGCAGTTCAAGCCGCAGAGCACCAAGGGGTGGTGGCTGTGGAGGAAGCCGATCTGATAGAGGGGGAGACAGAAGCAGATATTAAAAACAAAACTTTGGACCTAAATCCCTGTTCAAAGAAACAAACAGAAAGTGGAACCTATTCTGTCATAACTACCCAAGGACTACTAAAAGGAAAAATTGTTACATTTTTTAATTTCCTGTTAAGTTACCCTTCATAATTTTTATGTTCTTGTGAGGAAAAAAGTAAAACATGCAACCAATTGCTGTTTCTCTCTGTCTTGCCCCCTCTTTTCCACTCTCTCTAAAAATCAATGGATGCCCTGACTGGTTTGGCTCAGTGGATAGAGCATCGGCCTGCGGACTGAAGGGTCCCAGGTTCGATTCCGGTCAAGGGCATGTACCTTGGTTGCGGGCACATCCCCAGTAGGGGGTGTGCAGGAGGCAGCTGATCGATGTTTCTCTCTCATCGATGTTTCTGGCTCTCTATCCCTCTCCCTTCCTTTCTGGGAAAAATCAATAAAATATATTTAAAAAAATAAAAAAAAAAAAAAAAAATAAAAATCAATGGAAAAAATATCCTCTAATGAGGATTATAAAAAACAAAACAAAAAACAAACAAACAAACACACTGGTTTTCCAGATAGACAAGGACAGAAGGGAATTCTGTTCAGTAACCTCTACTGAGCCCTCAATACCACCTAAAATTCTAATTGTTTCTTTTGTCAGTTCACTCTTTCATTCTGTGCAAAGACTATTTCAAACTTCCTAACCTCCTGCACTCTCTCATCTTCCATTTTCTACTATTTTACTCTCTGATAACTTCAGCTCATATTAAAAAAAAAAAAAAAAAGAAGAAGAAGAAGAACATATGCTATATCAATCAGGGTTCTCCAAAGAAACAGAACCAATAGGATACAGGTATACAGAGATTTATTTTAAGGAATTGGCTCAAATGATTGTGTGGGGCTGGCAAGTCCAAATTCTGTAGGGTAGGTCAGAATGCTAGACACTCAAGTAGGAGTTAATGCCTCAATCTTGAGGCAGAATTTCTTCTCAGGGAAATCTCAGTTTTTATTTTTAAGGCCTCCAACTGATTAGGTGAAGCCCACCCACATTATTAAGGGTAATTTCTTTTACTTAAAGTCAATCAATTCTGCCCTAGCCGGTTTGGCTCAGTGGATAGAGCGTCGGCCTGCAGACTCAGGGGTCCCGGGTTCGATTCTGGTCAAGGGCATATACCTTGGTTGCGGGCACATCCCCAGTAGGGAGTGTGCAGGAGGCAGCTAATCGATGTTTTCCTTTCATCGATGTTTCTAACTCTATCCCTCTCCCTTACTCTCTTTAAAAAATCAATAAAATATATTTTTAAAAAGTCAGTCAATTGTAGATTTTAATCACATCTATAAAATACCTTCACAGCAATACCTAGAATGGTGGTTGATGAAATAACTGGGTACTATAACTCAGTCAAGTTGACAGGTAAAACTAACCATCACACATGCTATTTACAAGGCACTCTCAATCTCCCAAAACTATATCAAAAATTACTTAGATCTGCCTTCATCCATTCCATCTTCTTTCCCTCCCTAAAGCCAAGCTCTAAACCTTTGCCCTGTAACTATTCTTTCTTCCTTGATTCAACCAACAAATATTTACTGAGCATCAACTGTGTTGGACACTATTTTAGGTAGTTATCTCAGTGTACAAAATGCTAACATTGACAAAAACTGAATTATGAAGCTTACATTCTGGTGGAGGACACAAGTAATAAATAATAAACAAAATGAGTAAACTATATACATGATAGCACTATGGAAAAAAATAGAGCAGGTTAAATTCAGATTCACTTCTGTCTCTTCCTCTAATAAAAAGTCTTCCTTTTGTTATATGACTAGTAGATTGAGCTGGGAGGAGAATGAAAGATGTTCATCCAACAAATATTTATCAAGCACATATTATGTGCTGGGAACTGTGATAAGAAAGCAATGGTGAACAATACAAACATGGACTCTGACCTCATGAGTTACTGATAGAAGTGGATGCCAAAAACATGAAGAATTATGGGAGCTGCAGTCTGGAAAGAGTTCTTTGAGGAAAGAGTATTTGAATTAAATACTCAAGAATGAGTAATTTAGTAGGTGGAGGGAAAGCATTGCAAGCCAGAAAACAGCAGGTACAAAGGCCTTGAGATGTAAGTATATGACAGGTTAGAGGAATCAAAAGGCTAGTGTGGTTAGAGCAGAGAGGAGAGAGAGGTGTGGTTTCAGTCCAATTCAACAAACAATACTGACAGTCCAGTGTTTGAGTCACTTATAAGATACAGCTGAGGTGGGCAGGAGCTAGATCATGCAGGGCCTTGTAAGTCATGTACAGAATGTCAGTTCTTATCCTAAGAATGGGAAGCTGTTGCCAAGTTTTAAGCATCACTTTGTGTTTTCTGGTCTGTTGGAGGGGTGCAAAAGCGGACATAGGGAGCAGCAGCAATTGCAATAATCCTGATGGGAGACTGTGAAGATGCAGAGAAACAGACAGAATCCAGGGATATGTAGAAATAGGAGTTGGCAATTGAATGAAGGGATGAGGGAGGTTTCTAGCTTCTGCAACTGAAGGACTCTCCTGGAGAAGAGTTTATGAGGAAACATGTAGAGCTGAGGATTTTTTTATTTTTATTGATTTTTTACAGAGAGAAAGGGAGAAGGATAGAGTCAGAAATGTCGACGAGAAAGAAACATCGATCAGCTGCCTCCCGCACACCTCCCACTGGGGATGTGCCCACAACCCAGGCACATGCCCTTGACCGGAATCGAACCTGGAAACCTTCAGGCCGCAGGCCGACGCTCCATCCACTGAGTCAAACCGGTTAGGGCTAGCTGAGGATTTTTAAAAACTAGATATATTTTTATTGATTTCAGAGAGGGAGAGAGAGATATAGAAACATCAATGATGAGAGAAAATCATTGATCAGCTGCCTCCCGCACGCCCCCTACTTACTGGGGATTGAGCCTGAAAACTGGGCATGTGCCCTTGACTGGAATCGAACCCGTGACCTTTCAGTCTGCAGGCTGACACTCTATCCACTGAGCAAAACCGGCTAGGGCAGGATGTTTTTGAGATAACCTAAGTGGAGAGGTCAATCAAGTGGCTCAGAGGAGGGATATGGGAGTCATCAGTAACCAAAGCTCAGAGTGGGGATGAAACAATCCTAGAAAAAATAGGCTGAGAAAGAACAGGACCCAGAGAAACTTTTAGATTTAAAGGCTGAAGGGGGGAGGGGAGGGGGGGGGGCGGTGAGCCTGCAAAGGAGGCTAAGAAGCTTTGGCCAAAGAGGTAGTAGTTAAGTATGTGAGTGGAATCGCAGATGCTAGGGGAAGACTGTTGATGATAAACTAGTCAATATGCTACTGAGAAGGGAAAGTAAGCTGAGGACTGCGAAATAGCCACTGAGTTTAGGAATGTGAAGGTCACGTGGTGAGCCAGTGTGACCTCAGTATGAACTATTTCAATAGAATAAAGGTTGTAGAAGTCAAAACAGACTGGGTGGCCCTGGCCAGTGTGACTCAGTTGATAGAGCACTGAAGGGTCATGTGTTCGATTCCCAGTCAAGGGCACATTCCTGGGTTGCAGGTTTGATCCTGAGCCTCAGTTGGGGCATGTGTAGGAGGCAACCAATCTATGTTTCTCTCTCTCTTTGCCTCCCTTCCTTCCACTCTCTCAATGGAAAAATATCCTCAGATGAGGATTGACAAAAAACAAACACCAGATTGGGTGGAGGAATGGGATGGAGAGAGCCAAAGTATTCAACTGCTTTCAGTATAAAGTGGAAAAACAGGTTGGTAGCTGGAGAGGAAATGAGGTACAGAGTGGTTTGTTTTTCTATCAAGGGAGAGTTTAGCATGTTTAAACACTGATGAGAATTTAGTAAAGTGGGGAAAAGTCAGCCATTCCCAAAGAAGGAAGGACTAGGATTCAGGGCACAGGAATAGGCACTGGCCTTAAGAGGAATGCTGGGCCGGTTTAGACATACATTTATCTATGTATCCAAAAAAGATGAAAGGTAAGGAAACACAGTCTATCCCAAGAGAATCACTAGAATTTAAGCTCGATAGGAATAAAGAGAAGGTAGAAGCAATGACCTGACTGCCCCAGTGACTCAAAAAACAATAAGGAATAGTTCAATCAAGTGAAAGGAATATGGTCAGTGAATAAGATGCAAGTAATAGTGTTTTGAAGATAAGAGCAGTTGGAGGTGAAGACAATGGCCAGGACATAATTATGGGAGTGGATGCCCAAGAAAGTGGAAATCACTAGATTGTGTCAGAGAACTAAGAGACCAAAATACTGGAGTGTCCACATAAACATAAAAGTATCAATGAGTGGACAGGAAGACAAAGGAATGTAGGAGAGTGGTAGTTACTAAGGACAAATAACGAGAGGGTGGTACACTTGAATAGCCTCAAAGGTACAGGAAGTCACCCATTGTCTTCACTAGCAGAGAAGTGCAAATAAGGATCTCCGAACGCTGGTGAACCTTGAACCCATGGCAAGGGCCAGAGTTATGCACCGATTGTCTAGTCCAGACAATGGGGGCTCAAGTTATTTCCTGATCAAATAGTCTCAGAGTAAATCCTCCAGTATTTACTGACCTTTAAGATAGTCTGTCTGCTACCAAAATTGCCTGTCTGCCTAAGGGCTTCATTTGTATCCAAAGTTGAATAAAATGTTGGCGAAGCCTGGGCACCAGTAGAAATCCTTCCCCTTGAGTTGGGCTTGCCCACCTGGCCCCCAATATTTCCAAATTATTTCTTGTCTCATCTCTTTCATTTGCATGTGGCCCCTCCTCCAGATCCTGAACCCTGAACCACGCGGGACATGGGGGAACATTCACAAAAGGAATCAGACTTTGCAAAGGAATGGGCAGTTATGCTCTGAAGCCAGAATGACAGGAACACTAACCCTCTCTCCAATGTCTGTGGTAATCAGATAAAGTTTTGTCAACATTTATTCTCATTGTGCTTGAAACATCACATGTGCTCATTATGCTAATGGCAAGACCTGAGGGAGACTCCAGCAATAATGGAAGATGGATAGTAGGAATAAGGTTCTTATAAATATTAAGAGAAAAGAACCAGGACAGAAGATATTGGAAATTTAAGAAAGAGACTAATTGATGGATCAGACTGAGGGACACTTTTTTCTCCATGCCTGGGGGTGAGGTTTGGTACAGATAAATAAGCAAATAGCTCTGGAAGTTCAAAGACCTTCTATGTTCCTAGCCCTTCTCCAGTAATTATTAATTACATGACTTGGAAACACAGATCATTCATAATCATCTGGCAGTTTAATTACAGTAGGGCCTTGACTTACGAGTGTCCCGACTAACGAGTTTTTTGAGATACCAGCTGTCTCTCGGACGATTTTTTGCATTGAGTTGATAGAGTACTTTGTTAACGAGCTTGGTCTCGGAACGAATTAAACTCGTAAGTCAAGGCCCCATTGTACAAGGAAGTTTGTTGCAAGGACACCCACAAATGTTGATGTGGAAGAATCCTTCCACCAGCAGTACAATATCCTGGATCCCTATTTCCTTGTGTCTGGAAATTGGGAAGTTCACAAGCTGATTTCCTGCATTTATACTTTCCAAGGAAAGAATTTTATTAGGTAGACATGAAGCCACTTTGTAAGGAAGTTTCTGGCCAGCAACTTTTACTTTCCAATAAACCTTTCTATTCAAGATTTGTTCATGGGACAGCAGCTAGCTAAAAGGCAAAAAGTAATAGGAACCACTTTTCTCAACAGGTGACTATGTATATAAGATACATAGTACATTCTGGATTCTTGCTTCCTCATCTGTTAAGAGGGGGGGGATAATACCTCTTACTTGTACTTTTGTCATAAAGATTAACTAAGGTAAAGCATGACATATACCAACATCAGAACCTATACAAAGTAGGGGCTCAATAGATATAATTTTGAGAGGTAGCCTGTTATAGTATAAAAACAAAAACATGGATTTTAAAGTCAGATCTGTTTGGGGTTTTTTTTAGAGAGGAAAGGAGAAACATTGATTTCTTGTCCCACATATTTATGCACTCATTGGTTAATTCTTGTATGTGTTCTGACTCAGGATTGAATCTCCACCTTGGCTCATCATTGCTGGAGTCTCCCTCAGGTCTTGCCTTTGGCATAATGAGCACATGTGATGTTTCAAGCACAATGCTCTAACCAACCGAGCTACTTGGCCAGGGCAAGTCAGATCTGTATTTTAATACAGGGTCTACTATTAGAGAATTTCAAACTCCTGAGCTATACGAGGGAGAAAACTGTGTGCTTTGTGGGTGTAGGAAGTTATTTTTATTATTGTGGGAACCAATGTCTAAAAGCTTCCATTTCCACTGTAAAAAAATGAAACATGGTCAGTTGATGGGGAATAGTTGAGGGTGAGGTGAAGAATTAAGGAGAGCAGTAAGGTGTAATAACTGCCATGTTAAGGACAGTGAATAGACCAGGAACCCACAAAGGGTTGCTTGTTGGTAATGATGGCTTGGTTGAGGTTGGAACCTTAAATACTTAGTGACATTCATTACACAGCTGTATTTTTCTCTAGAAGTTTGAATGGAGGAACAGAAAAGATTGAAAAGCTGGAATGATACAAAGGACACAAGAGCCGAACCGGTTTGGCTCAATGGATAGAGCGTCGGCCTGCGGACTGAAGGGTCCCAGGTTCGATTCCGGTCAAGGGCATGTACCTTGGTTGCAGGCACATTCCCCGTAAGGGGCAAGCCAGAGGCAGCTGATTGATTTCTCTCATTGATGTTTCTAACTATCCCTCTCCCTTCTTCTCTGTAAAAAATCAATAAAATATATTTAAAAAAAAAAAAAAAAGGACACAAGAGCAGCAAGAAAATGTGGTGATGGAGTGATAGGTCATTCACACTGTTGAAAGCAGAAGTAAATTCCACAACTGGGAGGAAATAAAAAGAATGGATAGGTGGGGACTAGAAATCACAGAACAGGCAGAGTGGAAACGTGGGGTAAAGGTGGAAGAGCTGGAATTAATTATAAATAAGCAGTGAGACAGAAGTAACATTAAAGAAGCCCCATAGATTTTGCTTATCCCTTCCTTTCCACAACCACCACCATCATTTCTCTCTTGGATTTCTTTATCTCAAGCCTGACCATATTGCAGAATATAGGCCCTCAAGTTTTCCCCTTTCTGATCACCCCTGAAGCAAAAAAAAAAAAAAAAAAAAGTCTTCTTAGAAAATAGTAAAGAAGTAACAACTTGGGGATATGGTTAAAGTTTCAGAACATTCAGAATTTTTATAGGTTTCATCTGTTCTGAAGTTACTGATTTATAAGGAGGTAGTCCCCCAAAACCCTGTTGTCCTTAGATGTCTCCTCTTTTCTCTAAATCTAGCAGAATTCCCTCTTGCAAGACACAATCCACACACAAAAAGTTATGAATGAATGCATACCCAGCTCACAAGTGAGCCATTAAAGTCAGACAGATTTTATTTAATGACAGCTGGACAGAGCTCCTATTTTCTCTGTCATCTGGCGAGGAATCGCCTTCCTGTTGCTATTACCAACCTTAAAAAATTGCATCCACACACCTCGGTTTAACCAGGTGCCTGGGGAATGAATGCTGAGGTTTTCCTTCTACACATAGAAGGCAATTTCCCTGCTGCCAGGGTTGAAGCCAGCAGATATGCACTGACAAATAAAGGATGGTGCTAGTCAAGTGGGCAGAGCTTCTCCGCCCAAAACATAAACCAAACGGAATGAAAGCGGGTTTATTAGCTCCAGAAAAATGAGCAACAGCACCCAGCTCTCAGGCAACTCCTCACTCTCTATACGGGCTGCACCCAGCCCAAGGTCCACTGGCTCCTTCAATGTGAGGGTCCATCCAGTGCCTCCCTTCCTGGGTTGGGGATGGCTAGCTGGCTGTGGGCGAGTTTCCCGGCTGTTCAGCAGCAGCCCCTGGCCCAGCGGAGGCAGCCTCGTAGTCTGCGATGCGGCGCTGCACCAGGGCAGGCATGAGCTGCACATAGGCGGCCATGAGGCGGTGGTTGGAATGGATCAGCTTCCCAGCACAGCTGTGCAGGCAGGCCTCCTGGAGGGAAGACAGGGTGGAGGCAGAGGCCAAAGGTGGCCTGTCAGGTGCGTCTCCTGTCTTCCCCTTCCCAGCCTAGGGGCGAGGGTAAAGGAAAGACTCGGCCAAAGGTTGAAGGGAAGTTGGGGAGGAGGAAGAGTGGCTCCCTACTCGGTTCCCCACCTCCTCAGCATCCAGGGCTCGGTGGTGCAGGCTGGGCACGCAGCGCTGGAAGCAGAGTTCCGTCATCCGATTGTAGACCAACAGGAAGTCCCGCAACTGGAAAAGAAGGGGACCAAGGACTCAGCGATAAGGGGGCCCACACCTCAATTCGGGGTCGCGCCGCCTCGGCGTTTCCTGGGACCGCGCACTACGGCCCTTGTTCCCAGCCCTTGGCCCCCTGGCTCTCCGGGGTCCCGCCCTGCGGACGGTGATGCGAGCTGAATGTAAGGTCCCGAAGCCACTTCTAGCTGCTACTCACATTCCTCAGCTGCTGCTGATGCTGCTGCTCCATCCCGGCTCAGGAGCACACCCGCCCTTACTTCCGTCACAGCGTCTCGGTCACGCCCCGGAAGTAATCTCCGGAAGATTTTCCCCGAGAACTGAAGGGTTGGTTCAAGGATCGCCCTGCCCCCTAGCTCAACGTCACTTCCGCCCTTACAAACTGCGACGTGGCCGGCTTCTTCTGCCCGGGAGTGGACGTCACTTCCGCCGAATCCCTGACCTGCTGCTAGGATCGCGACGGGAACGGGAGCCCGAGGTCCCCGCGCGGACCGGGCCTGGCGCCCCGAGGGGAAGAGCAGCCCGGCCCGAGGTGAGAGGGGCGTACTTAGTCAAGTGGAAGTTGAACGCATGAACCTGTCCTGAGGGCAAGATACCTCTGAGCTCAGGGAAGGATGAGGACACACCTGATGCCCAGGTGTATGGGGTGGGGGTGGGGGGATAGGGAAACACACCTGGGGAGACATAACTGACTTTGGAAGGGTTCAACTCTATCCTGGGAAAAAGAGGCTTTTCCCAGAGGCCGAGAACATACACCAACTGATTCAACTAAGGCCTGGTGGAGAGGGCGAGGAAGAAAAGGTGCATGGGGTGGAGGAGGGGGAGATCACTTGAAGGAAAGGGGGAGACACACCAAAGGAGTGTGCAAGGTCAAGCCCTGGGTGACATACCTGAGCCCTGGAAAGGGGTTCATCTCCTGATGGGGAGAAACACCTGCATGGGGATAAGCTCCAAGAGAATACAGACTTGATCCATTTTGTTCACTGCTGTATTTCCAGGGCCTCAAATAGTGCATGGCACATAGTAGGTACTCAGTCAGTGTCTGTTGAACGATTGAATGGATGAATGATCACGGAGTCCTGGTGGGGCTGGCGAGTCAGGAGAAGACACCTGAGGCCTGGGTGTGCATGTGGAAAACTATGCACCTTGGAGGGGAGAGATACATATGCTACCTGACGAAAGGAGTGGCAGCCAAATCAGGACACTCAAGCCCTGGGAAAACCTCTAAAACCTCAGAAATGGAAGGGGGGACCTTTCTCTTCTGGAGACCTGGCCAGTTTCCAGAACTGTCTGTGTTGGGCTTTGCAGGGCGCTGGGGTGGAGACATTGACTCCGGTCCCTTCCCTAGCCATGACGGACGGGATCCTAGGGAAGGCAGCCACAATGGAGATCCCCATCCATGGGAATGGCGAAGCTGGGCAGCTTCCCGAAGATGATGGTCTGGAGCAGGTGCTTCTGTTTGATTTTTCTCCTTATTGTCTCATTTTAGGAATCCCAACTCATAAACCCTAGGCTATTTTAGTCGCCTTCCCTAATTTATCTAACTCCCTTCAATCTTTTTACAAATTTTCGTTTTGATTCTGTGCAGACTTCCCTTGTGTGCTCTCTCTATGATGCTTCAATCCAAGCTTGTTCTCACCCCCAAAATGCTTCAGCTGCCCTTATGTTCCTGAAGCCCCCCTCTTCTCTGGCCTATAGGACCTCCAGCAGGTGATGGTGTCAGGACCCAACCTCAATGAAACCAGCGTTGTGTCTGGTGGCTATGGGGGCTCTGGTGATGGACTCATCCCCACAGGTATGAATGATCAGACCAGGACAGGAAGCTTGAGTGAGGATGGGGAGAGGAATGGTTCTGGGGAGCACAGGCTATGTCTGAGAAAGCTTGAATTATCTTGAGAGATCTTGGAAACTCCTGCTAGTGTGAACCCTATGGAGTCCTCACCCCAAGGCCAGTTCCCAGGGTTGTCCAACTGCTCCCATTTGCCATTTCCCCTGAGGTGCAGCCTTTTTCTCCGCTGCCACCACCTGAGTCACGTTAGGGACGCTTCCACAGAAGTTTCCCCTGCTCTAGAGCTTGATGCTGATTTGGATCTTTATGAGGCTTCTCAGAGTTGGTTCTTTAGACTCTAAAATTTAGAGGAATAAACAGCCCGGAACCTCACAGACTGTGATACCACATGGGAATGTCAACCAGGTTTCCTGTTACCAGGACCCACCATCCTTGACCTTCTAGCCCACCTTCTGTGTATTTCCTTCTGTTTCCTCTGGCCCTATCCACCTCCCCCCCCCCCGCCCCCCCCATCCTCACCACCACCTCAGAGGAGGTCAGATGTATATTAGGATTTGGGTTTCAGGGCACAAGATATGAGTTCCTCCTAGTGAGTAGGAGAATCTAATTGTCTCTAGCTTCTGCTCCTTCAGGAAAGTCATTTTCAGGTGCTGGGAGGGAAGAATGGGTGGAGCCACAGAGGTGTCTGGTTGTATCTGAGAGAGGCTGGTGTCAGAGAACTTGGTCCTTTAGGGTCTGGCCGCCATCCATCTCACAGTGCCACTCCTGCTAGCCCTGGAGATGAGGTGGCTCGGGGCATCGCTGGAGAGAAGTTTGACATCGTCAAGAAATGGGGCATCAACACATATAAGGTGGGACTCAAGCACCTCTCCCTTCCCCCAAACACCCATGGGTCCCTTTCCCCTTCTCCCAGATCCTAATATTTCATCTATGGCTGAGACTAGGAGTCTGGGTATACTGGGGTACATACCTGTTGTGGGGGCAGGGTGCTAGGGTCTCTGACTGATTCCCCCACTTCCCCATCAGTGCACAAAGCAGCTGTTATCTGAGCGATTTGGCCGAGGCTCTCGGACTGTGGACCTGGAGCTAGAGCTGCAGATTGAGTTGCTGCGTGAGACGAAGCGCAAGTATGAGAGTGTCCTGCAGCTGGGCCGGGCACTGACAGCCCACCTCTACAGCCTGCTGCAGACCCAGCATGCACTAGGTGACGCCTTTGCTGACCTCAGCCAGAAGTCCCCAGAGCTTCAGGTGCCTCGGCCAGGCCAACGAGGGTGGGGGGACTGGGCCCAGGCCCTCCCAGGCAGTCACCCCTCAGCCTCCCTCCCTCCCTCCTGCAGCCCAGAGGGAGAACCCCTACAGGGTGGGCCCAGCCCTGCCCCCAGCAGCACTCACCTGTGGAGGCAGCTTAAGGGTTTGTACAGAGGTCCAGAAGTTGGAGGGGCTGTGGGAGGCGGCACACTGGGTGCCTCACAAGTAACCCTTCTCTGCATTTGTGAGAATGCCTTTGATGCTCAGCCTAATCCGAGCCCCTCCCTTGCCTGCTGCACTAGCTTTCTCTGTTCTAGTCCTGTGAACTTATCTGAGAACCCCACCCCCACATTCCCACCCCAGGCATCCCCAGGGTGGCCCCACTAACTTTCTGGCTAAGAGAGCCTTGCTGGGGGCAGTCCTTGGTTGTTCCAGTTTTGATGGCTGCTTCCTCCCTGGGGAAGAGGGGAATGAAGGGCCCTACAGCTCCAGTCAGGTCGGGACTCTTTCTCAAGGCCTGTCCCTCCCTTCTGCCCTCAGGAGGAATTTGGCTACAATGCAGAGACACAGAAGCTGCTGTGCAAGAATGGAGAGACACTGCTAGGGGCTGTGAACTTCTTTGTCTCTAGCATCAACACATTGGTCACCAAGACCATGGAAGACACACTCATGACTGTCAAACAGTATGAGGCTGCCAGGTGTGGGCACTGGCAGGGCCTAGGGCTTTGGGAGTTGGCTGGCTTGGGTGGAAATTTGAGGTTAGGGTCATAAGAATTCAGGAAGGAAGAGTGTGGAGGACAAAGGGCTGGAGATGAGCCTATATCACCCCCTCCCCAGGCTGGAATATGATGCCTACCGTACAGACTTAGAGGAGCTGAGCCTAGGCCCTCGGGATGCAGGGACGCGTGGTCGACTTGAGAGTGCCCAGGCCACTTTCCAGGCCCATCGGGACAAATATGAGAAGCTGCGGGGAGATGTGGCCATCAAGCTCAAGTTCCTGGAAGAAAACAAGGTGCCAACCCCACCCCGTTGACCCCAGCCCATCTTCCCATCTGTAACAACGACCCTCCCCCCCAGACCCTGCCCATCGTTGGATGGAGTAATGCAGTCTGACCAAGGAGTGGGATCTTCTCTTAGCCCCCTCAACCCCTGGACCTTTCCGGGTCCCCCTCCTTCCAATCCCTGGCCCTTTTCTGTTGAAGAATTGACTGCTGGTCCCAGGATCATGACAGAAAAATCATACCCTGAGTTGTGGTACCAGAACCCCAGCCCCAGCAAATCAAGTCAGGTTTCTCCCATCAGCTTAACCTTTCTCCTTTGATTCCCTCGGTGGAGTTCAAACCCCACCCCCAAAGCACCATCAGAGCAGAATGCATGCATCCCTGGTCTGGTCTCAGGCTCAGCCCCTCAAGAAGGGCACCTGAGTCCAGCCTCAGCTGACCCTCTGGACCCCCAGATCAAGGTGATGCACAAGCAGCTGCTGCTCTTCCACAATGCTGTGTCCGCCTACTTTGCTGGGAACCAGAAACAACTGGAGCAGACCCTGCAGCAGTTCAACATCAAGCTGAGGCCTCCAGGAGCTGAGAAGCCCTCCTGGCTAGAGGAGCAGTGAGCCGCTCCCAGACCAACCTGGCTGTCATAAAGACACTGGGAGGGGCAGTCCCAGGGTGGGGGAGATCGGACATGGGATATCCCTTGCCACCTGCCCTCAGGCGTGGGCTCCTTTCCCCTTGCTGGGGCCTGACACCAGTTTTGCCCACATTGCTGTGGGTAGGGATGGGGCCTGCAGGCCTAGCAGTTGCTGCCCTGTCCCTTATCTTCCTGGCCACTGGGCTTTGTTCCCAGATCTTTTCCTTCCACTCCACAGCCAAAGGCTATGACAAAACCACTCCCTGGCCAATGGTATTGCTCAGGCCTATCCCCAGCTCCTGGGGTGTGCCCCCGACCAATGGCAGAGCCTCAAAAGGCCCTGTCAGCCAAAGGCAGCTCTTCTTGGGCTCCCCTGGGCCAATGATGTTGCCTCCAGTACCCTTTGTCCCTCCTCTATGCGTGCCCATTGCAGAGAAAGGGACTGGGACCAAAGGGGTGGGAATAATGGGGAGCCCCATTTCTGGCCCTGCATCAGAATGGGCATCCCCTCACCTATCCACCCAGTTTAATTGTGCTTAGAGCCCTGGAAGATTGGGACCTAGCACTAGGAATAAACCTTTCATAAAAGCAGGCCCAGTGAGGTCAATTTGTGGGGGACTCTAGGAGGGTGGGCTGGGTAGAGGAATGCTCAGTCTAATACACCAAAACCCTATCAAGTCAGAAGAGCTGGGGACAGACAACTGAAGTCAGAGGTTTCCAGAACAGTCTGAGGACCCACTCTCCTCCTCCAGACCCAGGTTGAGCAAAAGCTTCATTTGCCCTTTAGGCCAGCACCAAGATAGCTAAGGATCTCAAGAACACAGGGCCCAAGGTGGGTTGGGCCCGCTGGCCATTATGCATTCATTGATACAGCAAATATTTACTGAGAGCTTTTACTTGCCTGGCACTGCCCTAGCCCCTGGGGAAACATCAGTGAATAAAGCACAGTCCCTTCCCACAGTGCTTATGGTCTAGTGAGGAATAGACAAGTAAGTAACCAGGCAACTACAATACGGTGATAAGTACTAGGATACAGAAGTTCAGGGAGCTATGGGAGCACAGAGGAGGGGCATCTCTCCTAGACTGGAGTGGAGATGGGCATGTCAACTTGAAAGCTGAGAGAAAGGGTATTCAGACAGCCAGAAAGAGTAAAGAGCATCGTAGGCTGAGAGGCCAATATGTGAAGGCCCTGAGTAGGAATCTGGAGGAATTAATGGAGTTTCACCGGGAGGAAAGATGAAGGGGAGTGGCTAGAGGAAGACTACAGAGGTAAGGTAGTAAGAGCTCAGGCTAGGCCTGCCTCTTCCGGCCGATTAAGGACTTCTGCCCTTTGGAGAAGAGGAGCCATGAGGCCTTTTTGGCAGAAGTCTAGGGTCTAGGAAAGTAGTCCTGGTGAAGCTTAAACTAGTGTAACACACCCCGGTTCCCTCATAGCCGGTAGTCTAGTAGCTCTGGTCCAGTCTCCAAAGCAAGCGTGAGTCCTGTCTGAGGCGCATCACAGCGCTGGAACACCTGTGCCGGGGGCCTGAACTCAGGTGGATGAGAGGTTGAGGCAGTTTCCAGGGACCCTGTTGAGCCCAAAATCTGAACCTTGTCTGAGGCAGGAAAGCTCTCCAGCAGCACTGTAATTGGGCCGGAGCTCAGGTGCCATCACCTCTGCTCCTTGGCTAAGGAGAGCCCCAGGATGTTTCAACACTCCCCTACTTGCGAGGACTGGAGGAGGGGACACCCCCAGCAGATGCTCCCAGCACTGAGATCCAGGTGCAGCCCGACTTCGCCCTTTGTCACAGATACTGCAGCTCCCAGGCAGGCTTCCTGGGCTTTGGTCAGCCTGCAATCACCTGACTGCAGCTTGATTATTAGGAGAGGGGTGACCCCCACTTTGTGAAACACTGGGTGACTGGAGGCAGGACCTTAACACAGAGCTCAAACAAACGCTGGCTACACCACTTTCTAGCTGAGTGATCAGGGTTAACTTCTAGGGAGCGGGCCCTCAGTTTCTTACATTGTATAACACGGCTAATAAAAGAAGCTACCTATTAACAATATGAGTATTAAAGGAGATAATATATGTAAAGAGGTTCGTTGTGTGTCTGGCCCAATATAAGCACTCAGTCCCTGTGAACTGTTGTTATAATTTTTGTTATTTTCCACGGGGGCTGCTTTCCCCCAATGCGATGATTCTGAGAATTGCTCTGGTCTCTGGAGTGGGGAAGGGAGTCGCTGGGTGGTCGGAACCGTAATTTCCTCGCCGGGGTTGCCCCTCAGGGAGAGCCAGGCGGCTAGAGCGGGATCAAGTCCCCCCACCTTCCTACCCCATTACCCCCTTCCCGAGCTCTGGGTCCTGCCCTGGCACCTTGGGGCCCTTCGCCGCCCGGAGATCCGTGTCGAGGTACACGATGATTCCTGTCTCCCACGATCAACGGGGACCACACTAGCATATTCCGTAGGGCCCCCCCAGAAAGCCGGGCAGGGAACCCCCGGGAGGCAGCGCGAACCGGCTCCCGGAGTCCGAAACCCCTGCTGTCCAGCTGGCCTTTTCCTGACCGAGCCTCCTCCGGCCTCCGAGACCCACCGTGCCGCCTGCCCTGGAGCCGCGGGGGGGCTGAGGCAGCGGGCGGGGACCTGGGGCCGCGGATCCGGGCCGCGGGATCCGGGATCCGGCTCTCGGGTGCCCCAGCCCGCGAGCCAGCAGTCCTCGCCCGAGGCTCCGAGCGGGGGCGGGCGGGCGGGGCGGGGAGGCGGGGCCTGCCCGGGGCGGGCCTTCAGTCCCGGGCCCGCCCCCTCCCCCGGCTGGTCCGCAGCCCCGCCCCGGCCCCTCCCTCCGGCCTGTGCGGCGGGGTCCGGCGGCGGCGCCGGCGCGAGGACCCGCGGAGGCGAGGGACGTGGGGCGGCGCCGCGGGCAGGGCCGGGCGGACGGGCGCGGGCAGCGGGGGCAGCGCCGCGGGCCCCTCGGAGCGGCCGCAGTCCGGGCCTCGGCCCTCGCATCCTGCTCGGCCGCGGTGAGTGTGGCGGGCGGTCCCCAGGGGTGCGTTTGTGTCCCTGTCTGCCCTGGTCCGGGGCCGGGGCCGCGCGGCCGTGGGTCCGTGGAGCGTCCGCGGGTGGGGGCACAGCTGCTCTCCGAAGCCGTGGCTGCCTCTGTGCACGTGAGGCGTGTCCGTGCCCGGGGGAGCAGCGGGGGCATTCTTCGGGCTGTGGCTCTCACGTGAGGTCCATGTCTGAGGGGGGCAGGCGCGGGTGGATGGGTGATGGGTCCTCGGAGGAGCGCGGGGTTTGGGAGCTTGTGTATGTTGGCGGAGGGAGTCGAGCGCTGCGGGCGGTGGCGGTGGCGGTGGCGGTGGAGGGGGGCGGGTGGGGTTGCAGAGTGGGACTCTGGAATCTTGTGGCCCAGCCTGTCTGAAGGGTTCCTTTCTCCCTGGTGCCAACACTTCTACCCCTGGCTCCCCCTGACCTCCCCCCAGCCCCCACCCCCACCCCCTTCATCCTCCGCAGGCACCAAAAGCCCCACCGGTCAGGATGGAGGACACTCTTTCCTCCCCTAGCACTGCTCCCTGCACAGGAAGCCCCATCCGGAGGCTGTTTCTTGTAGGAAAGGACCCCCCACCCCCACCCCTACTCCCTGGTTCCCTTGCAGCCTGTGCCCTGCCTGGAGGACCCCAGGCCCCTCCCTGGTCTGGCCTCCTCCCCTCTCCACTTGGCTACAGATCCTGGGCTGCAAACCTGCAGGGACAGATGGTTGCAGGTTGGAGGGGCAGGCTGCACCCCAGGGAGGTCATTCTGACGGAAGGCAGCCCTGGGCTTGTTCCTGGTGTGGGGGGCCTCTCAGGTGGACCGAGGATTGACCCCGGTAGGAAGATGAGGTCTGGGAAGTTGGAAGAGGTGCGGTCTTTTTCACAGGTCTGTCCCTGCCTGTCTGTCCAGCTCACCAGTGCCCATTCATCCCTTAAGCAGGGCTCTGATTTACTGCGGAATTGGAATCAGGGCTGACAGGTGCCCTGCCTCTCTTGTCTTGGATGCCTCCAGTGACAGAGCACTTACTACCTTATGCTGTGGGAAAGCTTCTTTATGTTGAGTGGAGGTCTTTTTCCTTGGAGCTTTGTTCACTTACCTTGTCATTACCTTTGCTTTTGCCTCTCTGTCTGGTGAGGGGAAACTGCAGTGATTTAAACATGGCTCGCCTGTCACCAGCATATACCGAGCACCCTCTCTGTGTCAGGTGCTGCCTCAGCCACTTAGGGGACAATGGCATTCTTGATGAGAGAAGAGCTTGAGCCAAGGCCCATAGTTGGGATTACAGCCTGTGTTCAGAAAGACAGAGCAAAACCATATGGCTAGGACAGGAGGGAGTGTCGTGGGTTCCCTAAACTCAGCAAACATTATTTGGGAAGGGAGGTGGGGGCAACTGCAGCCACCCTCTAGCACATCTAGCCTTACCATGGAAACGAGCAATCAGATCCTCAGGGTAGTACAAGACGGGGTTTAAGCATGGGCATATATGGCAATCTGTAGGGACTTTTGGCTGGAAAGAGAATCTTGGGAATCTCAGATTTGAGGAACAAAAGGACAGCCCCTCTCACACACACAGTTTACAAGTAAGGGGATGGAGTAGGAACTTGCCCAGTCTTACCTTGCATTTGTGACATTAGTGTCAGTCAAGACGAGCTTCTAGATCTCCTAACCTTTTTCTAACCTAGATACATTTTAGAGGCAGACTCAAGGATGGTCATAGCTTGTATCTGAAAGGTGAACGAACTGAGAGGACTCCCAGGGTTGGGGTGGTTAGATGGATGATGGTGCCCTTTTTTTTTTGAGATGAGAAATGCAGCAAGAAGAGTAGATTAAGGGAAAATGAATTCAGTTTTAGGTTAGTCTCTAATCATCGCCCATGTAGATGTGTCCAAGATACAGTTGGATATACAGGGCTGGGGCTCAAAAAAGTTTTCTGCACCGGAGATAAGGATATGGGACTTGTTAGTAAGTGGTTAGTAACTAAACCCTGGCAGATGATGAGATTTCCCTGGCAGAAGATGAGTGTGAGAGAAGGGCCCCAGAACAAAGCCCTGGGAACTAGACATTTAAGGAATGGGCAGTGATGGAGCAACCAAGGAGCAAGTGGAGAACTCAAATTGAGTGGTCATGAAAGCAGCTTCTACCCTTTTGAGTCTTGCTCTTTGGCCCATCTGGTCCATGTTTCTTAATTTTTCATGCTTCTGTTCCTTTGCTCAGCTTTCCCAATGTGTCTATCCTACTCCTGTTGGTCCCACAAGAACCAGGTCAGATATCCCTTCCTCTCGAGGCCTGTTCATTCTCCTCCACCACCTTCTGACTCAGAGACTTCCTTCTCTTTGCTGCCACAGCAGTTCGAATATATCAATACCAGGACACATCATTTTGTAGTTATGTATTTCCAAGTCTATTACTACACTTGTCTGAGAGCTTGGAAGGACAGGTAATATATCTCTTTAAGAAGCTTTGCATCTCCAGTTGCAAGTTGAAGGGCCTGGCCCAGAGTATGCCTGGAGAAGTTTGATTGGTAGGTTGATCAGCTGATCGAATAGTTCATTCACCTATTCAGTCTGGCAATGGTGGGGGAGATGGTTCTGTGAATTTCATCACTTTCCTTCCTTGCCAACCTTACTGAGAAGGATACTTTGAGGACTTGGCCTCCTCCTTTGCTTCATCTGTTCCAGGGGAACCTCAAAGACTATAATGTGCAGTCATTTGACATTTTGCTGAGGCCTCAAATAATCAAATACACCTGGAGGCTAGTGGACAGGAGTATCATTTTAGGAAGCAAGTGAGCCTAGATGACCTCTTCTTTTAAAAAAATATATTTTATTGATTTTTTACAGAGAGGAAGGAAGAGAGATACTCAGAAACATCGATGAGAGAGAAACATCGATCAGTTGCCTCCTGCACACCTCCTACTGGGGATGTGCCCGCAACCCAGGTACATGCCCTTGACTGGAATCAAACCTAGGACCTTTCAGTCTGCAGGCTGACGCTCTATCCACTGAGCCAAACCGGTTTCGGCCTAGATGCCCTCTTGCATCCACTTTTTAACAATGCCTTGGTTACCTATCTCCACTCACAGCTGTGTAAATCTGGGACTCTCCTGGGGTTGTAGGAGGAAGTCATGGGGGAAATTAGATGCTGTTTGAGAATTTGGAGAAACTGAAAAGCCTTGAAACACATCCTTTGCAGATGTCAAGGATCTAGTGGAGTCAGCAGCACTGGCTGTCTTCATTTGCTCACAGTCAACTTCCTCCTCAGCCCCTTGGATCTGGCTTCCTCTACTCCAGCCCTTGGAAACCACACTCTCTGAAGTTAATCACAGCTTCTCCTGGGCTTTAAATCATGGGACCTTTCTCCAGCATTTCACAATGAGCTTGTTTCCTTGTCCATGAAGCTTTATTCTCCCTGAGTCTTCACAGGCTCCCTCTTTTTTTTCTTCTTCTTCTCCTGCCTCTCTGGCCACATCTTTTTCATTTCTTGCAGGCTTTGCTTCCTGGGCCTATCCCTTAAATGTTGAGGTTCCTTGGGACACAGTCACAGGCTCTCCTTTCTCATCTCTGGGTGATGTCATCCATTTCCATGGCTCTAGGCACCATCCCAAATCTTTATCTCCAGGCAGACATCTTTCCTAGGCTCCAGCCTATCTTTCCAACTGCCAGCTGGACCTCTCCCATAGGCACCTCAGAGTCATTTTATTAAACACTGAACTTGCCACCCTCTCATCCAAACTGCTCTTCTTCTAGAGTTTCCAAGCAAGAAAACTAGGAATCATCTCTAATTCTTTCTTCTCCCACTACTCTTCACATCAAATCATCTAGCCATCAAGTTCTATTGATTCCTCCCTATGAAATCCCCTTCTTTCAACCTTCTCTCTGCTACTCCACTAGTCAATACCACCATCATCTCGCCTCTGGAATATCAGCAGTCTCTTAACTTTCCACTTGTGTCCCCTCTAAACTATTTTCCACACAGCAGTCAAAAATTTACTATTGTGGCTCTATCACTCTATACTTGAATCCCCTACCTCCCAAGAAATGTTTCCTTTGCTCTTTGGATAAAGCC